TTTTTTTTTTATGGTTATATATGGGGATAGCGGGGAAGGTTAATCTTTTTTACCCCTTTTTAGTTTTAGTTAGGTATTATAGGGTATACTAGAAATAAAACTACTTTTTATACCTAATTTAAATCCCTACTATAAAAGTAAACCACCACTTTAAACCTATTTATAGGTATACATAAGGTTAGTTTACACCTATATAGTAAACCCCTAGCGTACTATTCTACAGTAAACAATTTTTTACCGTAGTGAGTCTGTTTCTATGTTTATATCTTTTCTTCGCGAATCACACAGTTATCGTTTCTATTTACAACTCTCTCCATCTACTCCAGCCACGACTTCTCACGCGCAACCCAGCTCCATAAACCACTACAAAAAACCCCCTCATCTCCCTACCAAAACCCCACAAACTTTCTCTCCAGCAAATCCTAACAAGCCCTCGCAACATCCACACCACCACCCCAAATCCAATTGCCTAGACCATCGCAGAAATCTTCCTGTCGTGCATACCATGCCTTCCTAGACCGCTCCCAGCATTCCTCTCGCCAACACCACGAGGCTGTGATGCACATCTCACTCTATTCCTCCCGCCTACACCAGGAGGCAGCGAAGCATACCGAACTGGACTTCTACCGCGCCACGCTTTATCATCTAGTACACGTACCGGACCCCTCGACACACCCGCCACATGCACATGGCGATCACCCAGCGGCAGCGGCAGTGGCAGTGGCAGCGGCAGCGACGGCGCACGTACTCGTGTCAATGACACCGGCGTACCCACTTGCCCAACGGCCATGTGCATGTGCTGCGACACCAGCGCGCGAGCTGAGTGCTGCGGCCCACGCGTTCTTGAAGCAGTGGTACGTGTATCGAGGGTTAGGACAGGGAGCCTAGCGCGCTGGAGAGTAGCTTCTATATCAGCGGATTGAGCTATTTTAGCTTTAGTGCGGCGGCGTTTGCGGATGAGGTGGATTGTTGCTAGGATTGTTGCGAAGAGGAGGGTTGTGGAGAGGATGGAGATGATGATTACGGTTGTGCGGTGGGGGAGGGTGCCTCGGGGTGGGGTGGACATGGTGTTGAGTTGTGTTATTTTTCGGTTGGGGATGGGTGTTGGGGGGTTGGGAAGGGGTGGTTTTAGATGTATTGTTGTGATGTTGTATGGTTTCGAACGCTGACGAGGGAATAATGAAATGTTCTGCGTTGTGCGAGTCTTGAATAGTCGTGGTAAAGGGGAACTGTGGAGATGGAATGGGTCGGTATCCTTTGTTTGCATGCAGAGTTCTTTCTGATACTGTGTGCGCCTTTGATACACATGATTTCATTATATCCGAAGGATGCTCTCGTCGAGCGGAAACATGATGAGAATTGGGGACGAATCCGCTCTTCTTCTCACAGAATTTCCACCAAGTGCAATACCATCAAAATAGTGCCAATATCCACATCCTTTTCCAACGCAAGCATGTAATCTAATTGTATCCTCAGCTCATTGCAACGCAGCATACTCTTTACACTTTTCCAGCACAAAGCTGACGATATCCTCAACTACGATTTACGATCGAATACGATTTACGATCGAAGCAAGAACGTTGAAATAAATCTACAAGTTTACCTCACATATTCAATGATTCAAATCACTCACACACATACCTTTCACAGCATCGGGGAATGTTCAAAGGCAATTTGAACTAGATCTCATCATATTTAAACATCATAACACACATGCATCCCCACCGAGCTCGTAGAGAGTGAAAGACACCGCTACGGCAGATAAAATAATCCACTACAACAAAGAAAAAGAAAAAGAAAAAGAAAAAGAAAAAGAAAAAGAAAAAGAAAAAGAAAAAGAAAAAGAAAAAGAAAAAGAAAAAGAAAAAGAAAAAGAAAAAGAAAAAGAAAAAGAAAAAGAAAAAGAAAAAGAATCAACCCACGAGCCCAACTGCCCCACCCCTAATGAACAAACCATCCACCCTCCCGGCTCCCCCGAACATGCCCAGCGGGCAGCGGCAACAACGACACCGTCACAATCCCCTTCAGCCGAAGCCACCGATTCCGGCCCCTACAATCAACTTCCATTTCTCCCGCACGCCAAATTAACATTCGCATCCCGGCCCGCTTCATTCACATCCGGCTTCCCACGAGCAGCGCGGCACTTGCGCATCGCGCACGCCAGCAAGCCGCCCAGAATGGCGACAGCGAAGAAGCCGCCGAAGAAAACAGCGGCGATGATGGCGTTGCTGAGGGTTTGCTTGGGGTTTGGGGGACTGGGTGTGGGTGGGTTGTGTGAGGGGGTGGGAGAAGGGGGCAGGGGTGTGGGTGTGGGTGTCCAGATGGGTGCTGCGGGTTCGGATAGGATGGGAGGGCTGGTCCAGATGGGTGCGGCTGGTTCAGACCATATAGGAGCTGCGGACCAGATTGGGGCTGCGGAAGGTTCTGACCAAATTGGAGGTGGTGAAGGGTCTGACCAAATTGGAGGTGGTGAAGGGTCTGACCAAATTGGAGCTGGTGAAGGGTCTGACCAGACTGGGAGGGGTGAGGGGGTCCATTGACGTGGCACTAAGGTGGACGGGAGTGACATAGTGGTCTTGGAGGTGACAAGGACGTGAATAGTATCTTCTTGTACCAAGATGTCCATGCCTGAGGCCGCAAAGACCATGGAAAGCGCTGAGAGGACAAAGCGAACGAACATATTGAAGACCGAAAGTTCAACTTTTTGTTTCTACCTGGGATCAAGAAGAAACAAGTCTAAACATGTACGACTTTTCAGATACCGCGGGACTGACGTTGCTGATGTGTGACTGTCGTCGTTTTGAATTCTGTTTGCTTTCTCGTTTGTGGGGAAGGGCTTGTTACCAAGTGGCGCTTGAGAAGCGATTTGAACACCTGTATTATCGCGTCGGGAGATTCGATTAAATATGTATGCGAAGGAACGAAGATGGCGACATTGTGAAGTGATATGTGGATTGAGTGGTGCGTGTATCATGAACACTATGTAGTATCTCAGATACATAGTGGCATTCGATGGCCATCTGTTCATGTACAATGATTTAGCAGGAGTCAAGGCATCTCACCCGGGTGGAGTGTGATGAGCATGTCTAAACATGTATTATCAGTTGTGGAGAGCTATTCTGGATAGAACTCTGTGACTTGTGCCGTATGAATTGATTCGTATAGTGGATGTTGCAGATTCACGTTCAGTTCGAAGCAGCGTCGAGAGCAGGAAACATGGTGGTGAAAACATTGTCAAAGTACAGCGACCCTATGTCCCTGGCTTAGCATCTGTGAAACGACTTGTTGGACAAAGAGTGCAAGGTGATGGTTTCAGAACGGACAGGTTCCTGGTTCGCGCTGGATCCAGGTGTTGAGATGGGATTCATTGATGAAGTGGTTGCATTGCGTGAGACAGAGGTCGCGGCAGCCTGTAGGTGGAGGTGAAAAGGGGAAAGCTGCAGATGTGGCATTCTGCATCTGGGTCGTGGTCACGTCCAATTTGTGAGGTGTACGTAGGAGTGGGGCGGAAGACTGGGGAGAGGTAGCCACCTGGTTCGGTGAAGGGTGAAGCCATTATTTGTCGAATTTCATAGAGGATCGTTTGAAACTCGAATAATGAAATTGATCCTTTATGAATTAAAGCTATAGAATTGATGGATTAGAGTGGTCGAAAGGAGCTGAATTGACGCGAAGAAAATGTTTTGGTGGCGTGGGTTTGTGCGATGGCCAGCTAGCTAATGGAGGTTGCGTGCATCATGCATTGGGTATGCAGAACTGCCGATGGACATGACACTGGTAGGGCAGACTGAATGTGAAGTAGTGAGCCTGTTTTGGAGAGTGAAATTGTGCAAGATAAGCACATGTTCGGGAGCGCTTCATGTTGAAAAGGACCTTTTGAGTCGAGAAGCTTGTTACTAGCCGCCGTGCACATGTGCATACGGCTCTCGCATGGTTTGCCTCGGAGCGCATTGTGCACACGGGAGACAAGCAAGGCAAGCCAAGATGATCATCGGGTGCAGTGCAGCGAAGATGGCGGCCGAAAGAAAAGGAGAAACTAGGTGATGTCGAGGAGAATGAGAGGAGTGGGGGTAACAGGTCAGAAGAATTCAGAGGGATGGAGGACTGTTTTGTATCGTCTGTTTGTGTGTGGTTGTAGTGTGCTCATGGCTCATGGCTCATGGCTCATGGCTCATGGCTCATGGCTCATGGCTCATCTGGTGTTGTGGGAGTTGTAGGAGGATGAAGGACGGCCAAGGGTATACACTTCGTCGAGTGAATGCAACTTGCCCCGGGCCGGCCATTAGCGCGTCACGAGTATACGCGAACCCCACCATTCCCGTTTCGCTTTGTGGGGGAGAAGAGCAGCATTGTACTCGAATGGAGCCTGGGGGAGACGGCGCGGCTGTGTCGGTGGTTGAGCGAGAGGGAGAGCGAAACGGGTGGCGGCGACATTTCAGTGACGACGCTTCTTCCACCAGGCCACGCCGTAAGCCTCTCTAGCTTTCTCTCTCTCTCTCTCTCTCTCTCTCTCTCTCTCTCTCTCTCTCTCCTCCCCTTTCTGACTGCTCTTCTGTTTTCTTGCCTTTCCTTATCCTGCCTACTGTCTACTTTTACACCCAGTTCTTCCTTTCGCATCGTCTTTTATACATACTTTCAACTCGAACTCGGAAAACCAACCCCAAGTCACACCACATCAGCTGGCAAGCTCGTGCTTCGAACAGCTGCAAGATGCCTGCGCCACTGGCCAAAGGTACGTCTATCCGTGTCACTTTCCGTGCTCAAAGTTTACAGCTTCCTCATCTCTCCAATCTCCCTTCCCCTCTCTCTCTCTTTCTATTCCCAATACATGTCTCCAACTCACTCTTGCCAACCTGCTCGCAGGCCTCGGCTCCTCGTCCCATCCACCAAACCGCCCTAATCACCCCCTCACAACAGGCATCATCATCGCCGCATCCGTCATTGTTGCCGCCGGTATCGCAATCTACGAGTCCCCTCAAGTCCGCCAATGGGTCGACCAGTCCCGTCGCAAGATCGCAGTTGCCCTGCACTCCCTCGGCGATGACATCCAGCCCCGTCGATCCAGCGAATCGTCCGACAACCACGACGCACATGCAAAGCGGAGAGAGGAATTGATCAGACGGAACAGAAATGAGCTGATCAGAAGGGCCCGGGAAGAGGGCGTCGCCGTCGATCTAGACGAGCTAGCCAGGATCGGGGACGAGGCTGCCGAAATGGGACGAAAGAGACATGAAACCAGTCAAGACAGAAGCGATCGCGCAAAGAGCTTCGACACCCTTGTCGGACACGACGGCATGCTCAGGGGCGACACCACAGGCGCAACCAACAACGCCTCGGACGCTGGCCTACGTCATCGCGGTGTATCAGGCTTCGCAGCAGGCTCGAGCACCGCAGCCAACACCTCCACCCCCTTCTCCGACGACGCCGTCCTCTTCGACCACAACGACCAAGACGACGAAGCACCCTCCCCAAAACCATTCCCGTACATCGAACCCACCACTACACTCGCAAGTAACACGGTCCCAGCATCCTCTCCACCCTCAAGCACAGCTACCCTCATCGATCTCACCCCGGAACAACACACCCACGAACCTCCCGCCACCAACACACCCACCACCCCCCAAGACCAATCCTTCCACTCATTCACCTCCCCCTCCCGCCCCTCAACCCCCACCCAACCCCAACCCCAATCCCCCTCATCCTCCCCATCCTCCCCCTTCACAGACACAAACACAAACGCCATACTCACCCCAACCCTAACCCCACGCTCCACGCGCCCACCCTCCCCCTTCTCAGACACAAACTTCACCGACGCTGCCTTTAGCGACACCGGCTATAGCGATTTGGGCGGTGATCGGGTAGAGGGCGTGATGACGCCTGGGTCGTGGACGGATGTGGGGAGTGAGGAGGGAAGTGAGTGGGGGGGTTTGGTGGGTGGGAGTGTCGGGTAGATTGGATGGATGGGTGGATGGATGGGATTTGTTTTTTGTTTTATTTTGTCTAGCTTCAAGGAGAGACGGTTATCTTTTCTGGCGCGGGATACATGTGGTGTTTTATGGGACCGGTGTACAAGGATTTGACGGTTTAAGGGAACATGTTTGGGGGATACACATATATACAGTGACACCGCTTCTCTGGTACCAAACCAAAAAAGATACATTTCTCGGACGCTTACTCAAAGATACAACACTGGCAAGATTGTCCTCTCTACAGTACCAAAGCGCCGAAACAAACCCCCCCAACGCCCCTAGGCATCCCGCTCATGTCCTCCAACCCCCCCACTTCCCTTCCGCTTCCTCCGCCTCTCCCCATACATGCCCCAAAAGCAGGCGGCAAGACCAAGCACAGACGACGCAAGCGTGACCCAATACGCAGCTCTATAGCACGCAACACCTTCCTCACAGCCTTGCTCCCCACTCAGCTCTACCACCGAATGCGCATCAAACACGGCGCCATAAAACAAATTGAACACATTTCCACTAACCACCGGTGCCAGCGTCATGCAACCCCAATTGACCGCAAACCCCAACGGCCCAAACGCATCGACCACGAGGGCAGGGAAAACACCAAAAAGGACACCATAGGCGAGGCCGGAGAGCCCCGAGACGAGGCGTAGGTCGTGCGGATCTGAGATGCGGATGGCTGCGATTTGGGCGAGGGAGAAGATGAGGGCGGAGAAGGCAGCGCAAAGGAAGCGCGAGGCGGAGAAGCGTTTCACGAGCATGTCTGAGCCGATACCAGAACTGAGACGGCCGAGGAAGGAGAAGAGAGAGATTGTGGAGACGTGGCGGAGTTGGTGGACGGCTACTGTTTCTTTGGAGGCGGTAGCGTCGAAGTGCGTCCAGAGTGCTTGGACGTTGTGGCCGATATTGCTAGAACATGTCAACACTTGAAATCTTTGAAGGGAGCTATACGATAGTAACTGGTCAAGGTCTTACTTGATGGTCATCAATCCAACGCCGGTAAGAAGGCCCATGAGTATCCATAGTTGCCAGAACTCGGATTTATAGAGTAGCGCTACGCCGGTGATATCTGCACGGGAGTGAGTCCCTTTCTTGCCAGTGACGTCGTCTTCGTTGGACACATCGTCTATAATGTCTCCAGGCTCAGACAAGAGGGAGGAAGTCTCGGCCGACGGGCCGGGTACTTCTTCGTCTGCTGTGGCTGCTTGTTGTTGGCAAGTGGCAGGAGCCCAGAAGGACGACAAATCGAAAAGGGGTACTTACTGGGTTCTTGCATACCAGCTGCACTGTACTTGCTGCGATTCGATCTCGTCTTGTGTAAGACGTTGGAATCTCTTCGTTGGCGTTCGCTAGTAGGAAGGATGGCGTAGCCTGTACCGGTCTTGTGATCCACCACGATGAGAAAGGGGACAGAGACCAAGACAAGAAAGGAGGTAGCCAGTGATAGCATCATGAGCAGGCTAGAAGTGTTTCCGGGAAAGGCAATGCCAGCTATCAGGGTATAGAAGAATGCGCTCAAGCCGAAAGCAGCCAGTGGAAAAGCAGTCGCCGACCCGCGGTGTGTTGGCCAGTTGAGTGTTGCTGTCACCGTAAGTATCGATCATTCAACATCGCATATAAAACCCACCGGTCTTCAAAGCACCCGAGAAAGCAGCACAACTGCCAACACCACTCAAGAAAGAACAAAAAGATATCAACGCCAGGCTCATGTGTCCAGGTCCACCGTCATAGGCTATCAGACATTAGTTTGTGTCCATCATCGCTCAAGTACGCATGGGTCAATGTTGTACCAAGTTTTATAGGGTAATAACCAACGAACAAAGCGAACGTGCCAATCACAGCAGCCAGACGTGGACTTTTCTTGTCCGTTATGAAGCCCATCGGTATGCCTGACACGTACATACCGAGGTTCGCAGCGGTTCCCTATCGATGGTGAGACGACATGACTGTGATTACAGCCGGTGCGACATACGACGACATTACTCTCAGTAGCGGACAGTTGGAGCTTCTCGGCAAACTGGGGTGCCCATGCTGAGTAGGCGTACTGGAGTTGGTCAATATAGATTCTCAAACATGGGCCGAGGACATACGTTTGTCCCGCAAGCAAGTGCGATAGTAGTGGCAGCAACCACAGAGAGGATGCGTGTCTTCTTGTGGGCGGGAGGTTTCTCCTCGGCGACCAACATGGTCGCTTTCAATAGGACTTATTGCAACGTCTCGGTCATGGACATCAAAAACAACGAAGGCTTGCAATCGAACAGGCTTGGGCAGATAGATAAGGGAACACTGGGACGGGTATGACGCGCGTGGTTAGATAACAGAAAGAGGGCTGATGTCGCAATATGTAGCATAAACGAAAGGTATCTACGGTATATGTATCAAGAAGCGAATCAATAAACAAAAAGGTCACAGGTGCATCGTGGTGGTGAGGCTTGGTATATCAGCTGGACTCGGAGGGAGAGGTGATAAGTTTAGGGTTGGTCGGAGATAACGTGGCCCGTCCATGGGGGGATCTGGCTTGGCAGCAGGGGTTGCGAGCCGCAGGTGAACGTCACCGGCCCCATTCCTTCACACTTCGTGCCTGGCCCACATCATCCACAACAACACACTTGCTGCGCACACTTCAAACATGGGCGCATTACTGTCGGTTCCCTTCATGGCGATGCCCGCTATGGGCACGGTATGTACTCGCATCCCATGCGTGGTTGCGCGCGACTGACGTGGCCCAGGTTTGGAGTCTTGCCGCCTCCTGCTGCGGTGCGGCGACATGCAGCGCCGTCATGGGCTCTTGCGGTGGAAAATGCGGCAACAGGTAGGACACTCCAAGTAGTACACTATACTTGTATACTAACAAACTCATAGTATTGCCACACGTATCGCATATGCTCTCATCCTCCTCATCAACTCCATCGTCTCATGGATTATGCTCACAGACTGGGCCATGAAGAAACTCGCCCATCTGACCCTCGACTACGTCGATATCAAATGTCATGGCGAGCAGTGCTACGGTTACGTTGCAGTCCAGCGTATCAACTTTGCCCTCGGTTTCTTCCACGTCCTCATGGCCCTCATGCTCATCGGAGTGCGGTCTTCCAAGGACGGTCGCGCCAGCATCCAGAACGGCTTCTGGCTTCCCAAGATTGCAGGCTGGCTCCTGTTCATCGTCTTGACCTTTTTCATCCCCAACTCCTTCTTCATTGTATGGGGTAACTACTTTGCTATGGCTGGTGCATGTCTTTTCTTGCTGGTCGGACTTATCCTGCTAGTTGATTTGGCGCACAACTGGGCCGAGTATTGCCAGGAGAAGATTGAGGTTACCGAATCGAGGCTCTGGACTGGCATGCTCGTTGGCTCTGCGCTATTCATGTATCTGGCATCGTTCGCCATGACCGTAGTTATGTACATCTACTTTGCGCGCAGCGGATGCGGCATGAACCAAGCAGCCATTACGGTACGTTCCTCGTCTCAGCCTCCTCACCATAATCACCATGCTAATCAAAAACCTAGATCAACCTACTCCTCTTACTCATATCATCCGTCGTTTCGATCCACCCTGCGGTCCAAAACGTCAATCCCCGCGCAGGCCTCGCTCAATCCGCAATCGTCGCCATCTACTGCACCTATCTAACCCTCTCCGCCGTCGGCATGGAGCCCGACGATCACCAATGCAACCCCCTGATCCGCGCGCGTGGCACCCGCAAAGCCACTATTGTCATCGGCGCCATCGTCACCTTCGTCACCGTTGCCTATACCACGACCCGTGCCGCAACCTACGGGCTTGCCCTCGGCTCCCAAGGTAACCCCCACGGCACCGGCTACGCCCAAATCGGCACCGAAGACTACGAACACGGCCTCGTCACCCAACAGCCCGAATCCCGCCGCGACATGCGCCAAGCCGCCCTCCGCGCCGCCGTCGAATCTGGATCCCTCCCCGCCTCCGCCCTTGATGATTCCGACAGCGAAGACGATGACGACGAGGGCGCGCCCAGTGGCAAGAAGAACCCGCGCGACGACGAGAGAAATGCAACACAGTATAACTACACACTCTTTCACATCATCTTCTTCCTCAGCACAACCTGGGTGGCTACCCTGCTGACGACCAACTTTGACGAAAAGGATGTCCAGGGCAGTTTTGTGCCCGTGGGGAGAACATACTGGGCTAGTTGGGCAAAGATTATTAGTGCGTGGGTCTGCTATGCCATGTATACTTGGAGTCTGGTGGCGCCGCTGGTGTTGCCGGATCGGTTTGATTATTAGGGGCTGGTGACGGTGGTGACGGTGTTGCTGGTTGTTTTGTCGGGAAGGGGAGTTGTGAAGAGGTTCAGAGTAGGGGGTAAGGGGGTGCACGAGATAGAGAGGAAGAGGGCATCTTGAAACTAGGCGGGTTATTTTTTTGTAATTGTATGATAGTCAGAGGTCAACTATATCTTATTGTAAGAGGATCATCGAGGTAGTAGATCTCCTTCATCCTCAATGCCTGTATTTCTTTCCCCCGCCCTTTCAGTAGTTTTGTGCTGCGCTTATGTTCGAACTCGTCGGAACAAATCACAGCTTCCCGACTTCTATCCCCTCAATCTCATAGAAAAATTCCAAGTACCCTTCCCCTCGCCCTCTCGCCCATGTTCACACTCCCTTCCTCCTCGCCCTGATAGATAGGAACACCGCACCCAATTCCAACCATACATCCCTTTTTTTTTCATCCTCGCATGCTCACGCGATTGGCTCGACTATTCTCCGTGCTCTTGTGTGGCACATGGTGTGGCTGGGGGTGCTGAGTACTCAAATCACATCTAATCTGCTCTGAAGTGAACAGCTAGCAGTGATGATGATGATCCACATCATGGCTTGCATCAACGGAGGTATTCCGACTAGCCGTGCTCCCTCTCACCCAGGATCAGCCGAAAGTTTAGGTTTATTCTTTGAGCCCTTGGGTCGGCCGGGACGTCTTTTTTCCGCCGTGGGTTGTACGGGGTCGTTCTGATCTGCGTCTGTTTGTATTTCGGAGACGATGCCTTTCTTTTTGTTTGTTTTGGAGCCTGCTTTCTTTGCTTTGATGGTTGGTGTTTCTGCTTCTACAAGCTTCCTTGGGCGACCACGTGGTCTGGCCGGTATTTCAGTGCGAGGCCGGCCCTGAACTTGTCGTCTGACTTCGCCACCCCGCGGACTGGGGGCCATAGCTGTGGATTTGTACTTTGGGACGCCGACTTTGGTGGTGTAGCGTAGGTCTCTGATTGGGGAGGCGTGATTGGGCGGGTCGTCGCCTGGTACGATGTATCGCATGAGACCTAGGGTTTGCGGGTCGAGGACATGGCGGTCTGGGAAGATGGGGGAGCCCATCCATGTTAATTGGATGTCTTTTTGTGTACCGGTGTTTTTGAACTTTTTTTCGTGGCGCTTTTTTGTCTTTTCGGGCTCATCGGGTGGATCTTCTTCTGGTACGATGTCGACGGGGTCGAGTAGGGCTCTTGGGGTATGGCGGACGGTGACGCCCACGCCCTCTAATCCTTTCTCTGACGCCGCGCGATTCCACACGAATTGTTCGACTAGGCCTGCTCGAGACACGAGGACGAAGCCCATGGGCCAGCGACTCTGTGACAGGGTCTGGAGAATGCCTTTTGTAGCCTTGCGTGTTGTGACAAGGAGGCCCAGGACGTCCTTTTTCTTCCAGTCTGCGGGCGTGCCCTGGAAAGAGCCTTCTAGTTCGCGGACATGGGATGGGCTGAGGGCAAACTTGCGGGCCTTGCACTGTACAATCACAGGGAGGGGTTCCCGCAAAGGCCCCAAGATCCAGTGGCCTATCAAGTCAATGCCAGCATCATTAGTTCTCCCGATTCGCAAGAGGGAGAAGCCAAGACGCATGAGCGCCAGCGCGGTTGTATATTCATAGTGTGTGCCGACGTAGATTGTTTTGTCCGGTGTGAGGTTGACTCGTTGCGCATAGGCGAGAAAGGTGGGGAGGGAATTGTGGTGGGGAGATCCTGGGGAAATGACGAGTTTGGGCAGGTCAATGGGTGCAGTGTTGGTGGTCGAGGTGGTTGCGATGCGTCGTGGGATGTACAGGTAGATGTGCGGCGTTGGGATGGCGTAACCGAGATTGAGCCATGGTGTGCGGAGACAAGGTGGCCGGAGGGAAGGGCGCATCACGGTATTATAGGCGTGAATGCGAGACAGGGCGACATGTTCGTCTACCGGGTCTACAGCCGTGATGCAGTTGAGGTGCGGGTGAAAGAGACTGCTCCCATGTTTACTACCAATATCGGGCTTGTAGTTTTCGCCTAACTGTCAGGCACGCTAATGCGGGTCTAGCTCGGTTCAAGCTCGCAACTTTCAAGCTTCGCTTCCTGGCTCGCTCTCTCTTCCTTTCACCAGCCATCATCGCTCACATTCCAAACATATATATACATACGAGGCTTGGCCACCAACACCGCCCGCACATCCTCCTCTTTAAAGTTGGGCCTTGCGCTGTTATCCCCATGTTCCGATCAGAATGGGCGACATTCTCACCCAGATGCAAGATGAGCTAGACCTGGTATCATTTGCCCTCTACACCTCTCTCCCTCCCTCCTTTACTGATTGCTCCCCAGCTTCTCCACCGCATGTCCACCTCACTACGCTGGATCCGAGAAAATGCCCCTCCTAGTGTGCCCCCCGGCCAACAACGTCTCGACACCTTTGCCGAACTCGAAGCCCGCAACGCCGTCGAATCAAACGCTACGCAAACCGCTACAGCGCCCTCGGCCCTCACCCAAGCCCCCACTGCCGCCCCTAACACTCGCGGCCCCGTTCCCAAAGAAGAGTTTGAGAAGGACATTAAAGATTTTGCTCAAGATGTTGTGTCCAAGGAACAGCAGATTGAGGAGCTGATCGCACATCTCCCTGGCTTAGACTTCAGTGAGAAGGAGCAGGTCGAGCGGATGAAGGAGTTGGAGCGGCAGCTGGAAGAGCTCGAGGTCGAACGAGTCGAGGCTGTCAAGGAGAGGGAGAGGATGCTGAATCTAGTTGAGGGAAAGTTGCGAGGGGTTGGGCGCGCCAAGTGAGGTCTGATTGCAAGCACCATCCTAGCCGGATGGACCAGATTCCTCGTATATTACGACAGTTACGACTACTTTCATGTGGGCTCGGGCTGTTGGCCCCGAAGATCCAAGGTATGCTTTTGAAGTCTCATTATCTAAACTCTCCGCTATGATTAGCAATTGCTTTTTAACCCTGACATTCCATGATGATCAAACCTAACAACAACACATTTTTACATGAAATTTATTATGACTTGGCTTTTTATTCAACGCTAGTCAAAGGTCCACAGCTGACATGCTGACAGCTTAACGAAACGACACGTATACGACTATCACCAAGCTCACATATGGCTTCTCGTGATATTCATCCTCTTGTTAGGTAAGCTTTACCCATCTACAATATGTTTGCTGCAATGATTATCAAATGCTTTTTAACCCTGAGATGATCTCGATGAGGATCAGAAATAACAACACTCTAACTTTTTCATGAGCACTGCCGTCATCCAATCTTCGCCATTCTTCTTGATCCACAAATTGACGCTGACAATCACAAGGCAATTTCGTGGTTCAAAATTACCGATTCATGTTTCTACATCATGAGCTACGTACAGATAGCGCCAAACGGAACGCAACATATAAGTAGATAAAAGTACATACGCCAAGAACATGGTTACGCAGCAGTCGTCAATCGATCTTGCAACGATGCAATCACTGCTGCTGCTTCCTCTCGCCGCTCTGAATACTGCTCTTCGGCACAATATGACACCCACCACGGTCATCCGACTTGACTCGCGCCATCTCACATTCCTCCAACCACAACGAGCCCACCGGTTCCACATCCTCATCCGTATATATGGCCTCTAGTGCCGCAGGCCTCCTCACGATCTCATACTCCCACTTCTCCGTCGACGTGCCATCCACACTCGCCTCATCAGTACTTTCACCAACACAAGCGCTCGATCCTACAAGCCCCACCTCACCCCTCTGGTCCTTGTCCCGTCCAAGCACCCTGCTATACCACGGCTTGGGCGACTTTCCTTGCGCGATCCGCTTCGTTTCCTTCATCTCCCTCTTGCTATCCTTCTTGTCATGCCGCTGCATCTGTCGAACCCTCGCTTGATGTCGCTCGAGCTCGTGCCGCACTCGCCGCCGCTCCTCAGCCTCTATCTCATCTGGATCGTCGAACAAGCCCATGGCTCCCGCGTGATGCACATCCTGCCTATCCGTCGTCTCTGCCGTATAATGCGTACCCAGTTCTTCAGCGAACGCACTGAATGGCTTCGAATGCTTAGTTGGTTTCCGCGGCGACGCTGGCCTTTTTGGGGAGCGGGAAGATGACATGGTGGGATGGCTCGATGGCTGGTGCGGGTGTGGGTGTATGTATGGATGTTAAAAACGAGCGTTGTTGCAGTTCTCTTCCTCGCGGGAGTGACATGGAGATTGGTAGAAAGATGTCATGAGCCCTGTGCGTAGAATGACGAGGTTTTTGTGCGCTGTGCATTGCGATGGCGTTGCCGTTGTTCCTACCGTTCACGATTCAAGAATCAGGCAAACGCAAGGATAATAGCTTCAAGAGTGGGGAACACGTGGGGACGCACTCTATATTGTTGTAAGCGCTGCTGCATTGGTGCAATGATTGATGGGTAGCGATTGTTACGGTCGATAATGGATAGTCCCGGGATGGTGGATTGTCGTTAGGTTATTGAAGATGGCCTATCAGACTTGCCTCTTGTCCACGCTAGGACGATTGTTCTGATGATTTGGGTTTTATTGCGTGAACTAGCCACTCTGGCTTCTTTTCTAATCCATGAGATGTGTTCGCGTTGTAAACCCGCTATTTGCACTACCCTCATACTTTCACTGCTCGCCCTAGTAAGACCATCCATTTATCCATCCTACATATTCCTGGACCACAAGTCACGGAATAAAGGTCCGTGAAGCGAAAGGTTGTGTTCGGGACACGGATGACGTGATGTGTGGTATGTGTGTATTTTCTGTGTGGGAGGGAGTAGGTAATCTTCGAGTGGGAGAAAGCAATGTGTAGGCTGTGTGCAACAATGGATTGTGGGAGTGTATACGGCTTTTCCCTTTGGGTAAGATAACTTTATGCTGTCGAGATGAGAGGGCGGTGAGTTGGGGATTGGATAGGGGTGGGTTGGGTGAAAGGGGGAATGTATGGGGGTATTTGATAGCGGAAGTCACAGTATGTAGTACTGAGCTTCTGTATCTTAAAGCTTCTGACATCAGAACTAAGTGCAGCCTGGAAAAAGAAGCAATGCCTGAGAAAAACAGAGAAAAGTCATCCTTAGAACTATCCGTACAACATCCACCACCAAAGCAACAATCATAATCACAATACAGCATATCCACCCCAACCCTCCATGCTACAACCCCAACCCCCTCCCCCTAAACACTCCCTCCGCCTCCCTAACCAATACCTCAACCTCACCCAACACCTCCTCAACCACTTCTTTAAACCCCTTCTCATCCATCACACCGCATAACCCATTCCATCCTCCACAGCCCTTCTCCGCTCCCATCCAAATCCCCTCACCCCCATCGACTGCCCGGCCCATCTTCCCCTCCCACACCCCAAGACGCTCCCACTCTCGTTTCGCAGCCAGTAGCTTGGGGCGCAGGCGCTCGATGTCGGATAGGATAGTGGGGTCATAGTCTGAGAGGCCGTGGATGTAGTAGTAGGATTGGAGGGTTGCGAGGAGGGTTGCTAGGCGGGTTATGATAGGTGGTGGATGGAGGGACAGCATTTGTTCGGGATGGTGGTGTATGTGCGGGGATAGTTGGAGAGAGGGAGTTTCTGAGGACGACGATGGGTATGCGTATAAAGGCGAAGTTTCAAGGAACCGTGAAATCCAGTCGGACGTAATGGGGATGTTAGAATTCGAGGGTATACGTGTGTCTTGTGAGCTTATATCTCTTACTCGTGACGACTTCAACGTGGTTCCACCGTCCAGTGGTATAGTCTCTCTTTGTTCCCGCGCTGGATTCTCGCACGGGAGATATGTTGTTTGCTGTTTTGCTGTGTCCAAAAGGTTAGAATGTCTGCTCGAATCGGAGAACTTTGTAGACAGGGAAGAGCGCGTAGGTTGGTGGGTGCGGGATGAACGGCTGAGGAGAGATTTGCGGAACATGGCTAAGAAATGGTGTTTTAGCTGCGGTGAATGCGGGTTTCTGAAGCTTTGTGTTTCACGGTGAATGCGGGGTTTTGGGACGTGTTGTGAAGCGGTGAAGGAGGATGTGGATGCTCTAGAGTATGGGAAGATGGAAGGTGTTGGGTGAAGAGTGAAAGGGTGAGACATGTGTGGATGAACAGACGATGAATCGGAAATGTGAGCACCCGTACGCTGTTATTTTGTCGTTTATTGAGGTAACTTTTTTGTTTGTGCGTCTTGTTTGCACGCACGTACAATAACATCGCCATATGGTGCACTATATCGTCTGAGGTTTTTTGTCATCATCTTCTTCGAAAAAGGAATCAAAATACCCTATCACACTCGCTTTCTTATCTTTTCCTTGATTACTCGCCGATGAATACTGTAGCCAGTTCTGATATCTAGGTCTCTTTTTTGGCACAACATACTAGAGACGACCAGGCAGGTTTTTGATTTGTTGACAGGAAGTCCACTTGAACTTGGAAAGAAATGATAATTCACTAGACTAGTGTATAAGAGCGTTGAACCACTCTGCTGAAATTGCTATTTGCGCATCTAACCCTCCACCTCATCATCACCTGCAAGCTCAGCAAACGTTTCTTTAGACTCCTTCAACTGCTCCTGCAGAGTCTCCACTACTCTCGCAGGGGAAACACGCTCATCTTCGATCAAGCCAATCGCATGTGCATACACACAATCATACGCTCGGTGCATCTCGTACGGCGTTTCAGGTGACCAGTGCCGTCGCCACGCAGGCGCAGAATCGGAGAGCCTACCAACTTGATAGATCAGCGCATCTGCTTGCTGGAGCGCCTGAATCCATCCAATAAAATTGTGCTGGAAACGCTGATTCTCTGGTTTACCCATTTCCGCCTTCTTCCAAGACGCCCCTGCGTGTCTGATCTGGGTATCGAGGTTCTGTACATCTATCTTGAGTTGCTGAAGTGCGTCTTCGTATTTCTTCCAAGCTCAATTGTCTATTATAATTAGGATTGATCGTGAGAGATTCATGTTGAATAATTCGTGAGCGTTACCGTAGCTTGCATGTGAGCTTGAGCGGGTATGAGAGTTGATGCTGGATCTATAAGACATGATCTCGTTACCAAAATGTTGGCGATCTGCAGACGTTCATCGTGATACTTGCCCGGATCCAAGTTCGAACTTTATAAACCGAAGTCGCAGGTCATTGCGTGGGAGAGACAACAGCGTGATTGTCTCACACGCCATGAATCACGCATGTTCCAGTCAGACAAACGAGCTCTGATCATGTAACAGGTATGACAGCTCTTGAACTAGCGTGATTGCATCGCTGTACACTATCAATCCTGCGCATTCATGCTGAACAGACTGTGAAATTCTCAATCCATGTTATTAGGGTTATAAGAGCGCTTTTGCGCACTCGCAGGCTAAACGCAGGCGGTCGCAGAATTCCTAAAGGCACGAGTGCCGCCAATAATCTTTGAAACATCCTTCTGTGAATATATGAGCATGTGGCTGCTCTAAAGTATCACCGCAGTCAGTGTCGGTATCGACCGTACCGGTAGTAAGGGCTCCTTGAATGGAACATCGTCTGGGTAACGGAGAGCTCCGCGTTACCGGTACCACGACGCACTGGAATAAGGCAATGGGGTATTCCCGCCAACGTTTGATGATCTCGAAATTCGCTAGTTTGAGTAAATTTTTAAACTCACAGCACTTGACACCGGATGTTGAGTCAGTGGGGCAATGAAGTCATGTTTTGAAACTGATCATTCCTTTACAAAAGTCACCTAGATTTCTCGGCATAGCTCCTACCTTATGGGCTGATTCAGGATATCATGTGTGTAGCGTATCAGTTACCAATGCTTGTTGTTCCGTCTTTGGGCCTGGAAGCTCCACTGTTTGCAGAGATCATTTTTGAAGGCACCATAGTATGAGATCGACGCCTCTCCAATGTGCCCAGATTTCCTGCACTTTGCTAGTTAGAATCCTCCTGACAGACGTGGGCGTGCAGCTCCATTCGCAAAGGGTTAGAATGGGGATCAAGAGATAATCGGATCTTAATCAAGTATGGGAGTAGAGGCTGCAAGCGATGAGAGATAAGATCAAGCGTCGACATTTGCTTAGCGGCAACAGCTTGTTCTCTTTAGGCATGGCAAAAGTCACATGACTTGCATCATTTTATCTCGCGGTAAGTGTTGCGCCAAGCGGCCTCTCTCCTATGTTACATGGTTCACAACTTTCAAACACCAAAATATCAAGCAATACCGCTCTACAGAGGACTATATTACAATTACATAAATATATAATGGATGAGCTACCGGACGAGCTGCTCCTGATTATTCTCATATATGTGCCCAAAACGCCTTCAACGCTGGCGCGTCTCTCCCTCGTCAATAGACAAGTGAATCGCATTGCAACTCCATTCTTCTACGAGCAATTTTCGTCAGGAGATGCATTCTCTTGTAATCGCTATTTGGAAACAATTTCTGCCCATCCCACACTTGGGCGGCAAGTACGCAGACTAAACTGGCGAGGGCTGACAAACTGGGAAGAGGACGAAGCTGACGAGCTTTTCACAAAAGTTATTGCACACCAACCCAACCTGCGACAAGTTTCCTGGAACAACATGAGATCCATCAAGAACTTGGCCTCGGAAAGACACGACTATCCCAATAGGGCTCAAAATGACCCGGTGGTTGAAGAACGGTGCGGCATCAAGCCGTTTCGAGAAGGCTGGCTTGGGCACAACGGATTTTCCACTAGCACCATATTTCGGAATCTCCGGTCAGCAAGGCTTGCTATGCGACACCTTCGACTCAGTGACATAGTTTGGTTGATGCGTATACCGACTCTCCGAAAGCTATGGCTTGATGCAGTCACACGCTATGAGTCAGAGGACAATGTACCGCGATCCCTCGAACCGCTGATTTCAAATATCAATGATCTCGATATTCGATTACACAATCGAAAGCTACCAAGCACTGAAGATATTGTCAGCATTGTCACTGCATGCCGGTGTCTTACCCGACTTTCTCTCAATGTCCGTATAGATATCTCTACAATGAGCGAGGCAGATGGAAAGCTGCAGAAGCTGAAGATGGCCATTGAAATGCACTCTACGACGCTTCGTAGCTTGTTCCTGAATCTAGAGTACTCCCCCAGCCCGATAGACCAGAGATTCCTTCCAAATATGGAGATGGTCCAGATACTCAGCATCAATCCCCGCTCCGTACCCTGGTTACTGCTCAACACGATACACAAACTACCTCGCACTATACGCACTATCCGGATTCTGCCAGACCAGTCACGCTTACTAAGGGTACTTCTGACATGGCCGACAGAATCTCAACTTCCTATGAACACGGCGCTACTAGAGAAGGTCACAATCTATATTTGTTTTCATGACATGGCCCATCAGGGTAATATTTCTTTTGGCTACTGGCAGCATATAAAGCAGGCATATGCCTCACGTAACGTAGTGCTGAAACTTTATCAAACCGAATTTCGCGAGTCGTACCCTTGGGGACGTTACAGACACGTTTACACACCAACTCCAGCGGAGGAGGATGATTCTTCATTATGGCCAGCAACAGGGCCTTGGCCCTGAAACCGATATGGGTGTAGCATGGATTAGAATGCTCATGGCCAACACAGCTGTACGAGCAGACTGCAACCTGGAAGAGTCATAACTACATTGGCATTCAAACCATACATGAATCTCCGCATTTCAAGAAAGAAGCACCCCATTCTACATGCTTTACTTCATCCGTGCAAGCCCTACAAGAGACCGAAAAGGGTCTTTCGGCAAGACTTCGTCTGCGACATTTTCCTTCTCAGTGGCAAGGCTCTGTGAGGCGCGGTTTGTCTTTACCGTAGTCTTATACGGCATGATGGAATTTACCTCTGCCATATCCACTCGACTTCGAACAGTAGCAAGCGCTGGTGATAACATGGGGGAGTCCAGTGATGCGGATGGGCTTCTGACGATGGTCATGTCGTGCCTGGTTCGTTGATTGTCGGCAGTCTTGACATATTCCATATCATGACGCTCGTCCCCAACCGAGTTCACACTATTGTGCATGCTGGGCTGATATAGACCGTCGAATAAGAGCGCCATGTTCTTCCTAGATCCTTCGCTACAGTGTACCGGGCGAGTCATGTCTACGGTGGCGTTGTTCGGAATATGACCGTGATGTTTCTTGGGAACATCAGCCATTTGTTGCCTGTCGAGGTCGTCACTCCATTTGCTTTCGCTGTCGGTTTCCCAGCTACACTCATAAGCTCCAAGCGTTGCCTTTTCGATAAATATCTGCAATCTCGGCGATTCGGGATCAGCTTGCGTCGCTGTAGAGGTAGAAATAGCTTGGAGAAGTCAGTAAGTGATAGACCGGGAATATTGAGGCACGTACTCAAACAAGGCCAGTATTCATTCAGGTTATTTGACGCGTTCGAGGCTGTGTTGCAGACAGGTTGATCACGAGAAGACTTATTGGTCAGTATACTTTTGAAATGATACGTAACCAATCGATATAACGTACCCTACAACCTGGCGGTCCTAGGCCGACTCCATCAATCGAAAGACCGATTCCAGCAAGAAACTCGCCAATAGATAGCCGTTCACGATCGATCATGTTGGCATCGCGAAGGATCTGCAATAGGGTGTCCAACCGTTCAGATATAGTCGATTCAACGCTTTTGCGACTACTAAGGTCAGGAAGCTCGTCAAGTTCGGTCGCGTACATCCTGCGGAATGAGGCGCTATTGAACGATACTGTCTCCGTGCTATGCGACCAGCTCATTCTCGCTGTACTCAGAATTTTAGTAGCAAAAGGTTGCAGGAAGGTGAAATTTTGGGGTACGACAGTCTTATATGCCTGATAGGCAAACGACCTCAGCTTCGCGCTAACCTATGGGGTGCCAGCGGTGGCAAGGCAATCACCTTCACCTAAGGAAACTATGACTAGAGCTTAACCGCTAAGTCGCCTCTTCACCGAGAAATTTTTGCGCTTCTTCAAAACGGGCTTCGAAGAGGATGTAAGTCTACGTACCCTGGTCTGTGGAGGGCACGGTTTCAACTTGACTGCACCACAGAAACGTCACAAATCGTAGCACTTTTTATTCAGAAAACCTCTATCATAGATATCAAAGCTGGCATTACTATATATGAAATTCAAAAGCATAAGATTGCAGGCCGATTATCCCGTCTGCACGCTGTTGATAGCCAATTACCATGCAGCAGCAACGCGTTTGCTGCGCTGTTTGTTCATCAGTTTCACTCAAGAGAAAACCATAGATGGTGCGCCGTGCATTCAGCCACAACGGACTCAATGCAGATGTGTAAAACCACGAGTGCTCAGTACCGTTGCAAGCCATGTTTTGTACTGCGGCCAATACCTCCGCGAAGACATCGCAGAGGATGGGACACTGAGAATCGTCGTCCACTTCGTCTCAAGTGGGCGATTACTCGATAGATTCTCAACTGGGATCACCCTCAGCCACTGCGCCCCGCCTACAATATCAAGGACACGACATCGGTCCATCATACTACGTCAACTGAGCCATGTGGCTCAACAAGATGCGAGACGCCAACTGGTAGTGCCCTCATAGCCATATCCGTCAACGACTTGAACGTTCCCACTCCAGCCACGCCCTATATCCTTCCTACCTAGTCATCTCAAGGCTCGACGCAAGCTCCGACAGCCAATGCAACCTCTAATTGACCATATCTTACCCTATCTACCGACATCCCAAGCATACCATGTGCGTTACCACAATGTATTCAGCAGCAGATATCAAACATCATAAGTTCTACTCCCCCACTCTCCCCAACCAGTGGCCCGCAAATAGATACCCCAACCTAACCAAACCCCCATCTGCAGCCCACACGCTCTGAAACTCTTAGACACAAATGCCTGACATGGCAAAGGAGGTTGCTATACTTCCAGACTTCAGGTCGTCTGTGTATTAGTTGATTTGTAGAATGTAATTACGCAACGCGCTGCACCGTCTATACTCCATATTCACATCCACAACAACCCATAATCCAGTCCGCAACCCGCATCCTGCATCCCAAAACCCCCACACCAATCCCAAAATCACGCACAGCCGTGCCTGTAAACAGAACCCCAAAGCCCGTAACATATGAACATTGGTGGCGAGTGTCAAAAAACGTGCGAGAGTGAGGGGAAGGTGATATGTGAATATTTCAACCATGTAAAACTGTTTTCATTGACCGCATTCAATATTTTCATTCAAGGGCTGAAGGGTAAAGGTACGATGTAGGGCAGCATTGCAGTGCAGTGCAATGCATGAAAGAACGACTTCACAAAGACGGCTATTCATACAACACCCTTACGCATAACTGCGTAAGTCTCCCAATCCCTTTGCTAGCCATCATGCTAATCGAAAAGAAACCCCCAACAATATATGCAATATAATTTCTACACAGTGATACCAAGATGAATGCATCACACCTCGACTCCATACCAACGCCTCCAAAACCCCAAACTCATCATACACAACCCAACACCCACCTCAACTAGGCACGCCCTCATACTCCCACCCGCCCACCATCCTCCTCCGTCTGCCCCTCTTATCCTCCCGCCGATTCGCCGCACACTTGACAAAAAAGGTCAAAACGGCGCACAGGAAGATGACGACGGCCGCGACCGTCGGGACCACGACGATGCGCGTGCGATTGGTGTCCGTACTGGGCACATACGGACACGTTCCGTTGAGCCCGACAACCCAGCAGTCTGGGACGTTTAGACTGTTGAAGTTGAGTAAGATTTCGGTCTTATCTTGTGCGTTGCGTCGGTGGTCTTGGAATGCAGCGAGGAGATGGGCATTCTCGAGTGCGGTGTGCGGGACGCTGAATTCAGCGTCGGGACCACAGGCCATGTCAGCGCCAGCGTAATTTGTAGTGTCAGGTGAGATTTGCCAGTTGTAAGGTTGAGAGGGCACTTGGCATGCGACGTGGTATTTGTCTGCGCAGTCGGCTACTCTCCAGCGCCCCGGGTAAGGCGATGTTGTCATGACTGCGCAGCGGTTGGCTGTGTTGCTGGAACCCGAGGTGGCATTGGCAGGCTCACCAGGTGCCCAGGTCCAAAGTGTCGAGTGTACATAGGCAGCATATGGCAGGGGATTCTTATCAGCTGTAGCGCCGGCTAGGGTCTCGTTCAGGAAGGCTGTCAAGCCGCAGGACGTGAGATTTGCGATTGATGGGACAGGTACCATGAGGTCAGGATTTGAGCTAATGTCGAGAGAGGGTGCAACAGCAACAGCCCATGACGAGTTCCTTTCAGAAGTTACCGTCGTGTCTGAGGCGGAAAATCGGCAGTTTGATACTGCGCGTCCACTACTGACTGTTGAGGAACTGGGACGGCCCAAAGTGCCTGGCGGGAAAATAGAGTCCAGGTCAGGGTCAATGTTGTAGTACTGCATCTGCGTATCAATAGTCCCATAACTAGAAATAACCCTATAAAGCTCCTTAAACTCCATAAAAGACTCAGTGGGCCAGCCATCTTCCGTGAACAGATTGCTAGTGGGATATCTCGATTCAGAGAAGTAGCCTTGCAATGGACGGTTGGCCCATGAAACATCATACCAAGATTCATTTAGATTCTCGCGGTGACTCCGAAGCCGTACTGGCATATATGTATGGTCCGAAAGATTTCCCCAGAGAACATCGCTAAGAAGGGAGCCAGTGAGTGGTAGCTGTTCTGAGGAGAGTTGCGGTGCTGGTCCATCAGGATTCGATCTAGAAGACGCAGCGTGTATGTCAAGGGTTAGCAGAATGATGGTTGCAGCGGTGGTAGTAGCTGTGGACTCTAAGAAAGCCTCCAGAAGCCCAGTAACAAGGTCTAGTGTCATTAATGAGGTGCAATTATAGTTACCAATTTGTACCAATGGTGGTCCATCAGTCGTTGGATAACTTATAATCGAAGGAGTAGCTGCAGCAGGTGTTGGGTTGGGCGACCCAAAAGAAGCCACTGAAGCGGTTGATGCTACTTGCACCGAAGTCGACGTGGCAACTTGTGAAGAGACTTGACGCTTCTTGAATCTCAAACTGGCAGCCTGGACAAATGTCGACTCTGGGACTACTGCATTCTGACTGTCTGTCGAAATTGACACGGTCTGGCCGGACTGGACAGGCGCATTAAAGTCGTCCCCATTTGACTGAGGCAGCTCAACGGGACATAGACTCCACACTGTCCGCAATGGGTCCCAGTACGTGTCTACGCTAAAACGTCGAAAGCCGACAGCAAGCAAATTGGAAAAGCATTTTTGAAAGGCAATGTGCTCGTATTGCTTGCCGCCAAAGCAAGCCTGTGTCAGCGACACAGCAGGCACGGTATGAAAATTGATGGGAACACGAAGTCCAACATCTCGTTGTGCCTAGCAAAACATGTTAGAAACCTGGTACGACAGTGTGGCTCACGTGAGCCGAATGCATGCTCCCGTTTCGAGAACATGTGGGTTGAGTGCATGGCCAAGGTAAGGATCCACAACAACGGACTTGTAGGAAAAGAAGGGCCGGGGAGCACACGCAAGGTCAAGTCTGTAACACAACGTCAAAGCGCAGGATAGGATCGACTTACTCTGAACGCCTCACTCCAAGGTTGAATCCACCGAGTATCGACGGCCGCTTGATCTGGGTCATACAAGCTGTTACCCGCCATTCCCAAGCCCAAACATTGATACGCAAACGTGGCACCCACACCTCGCGTGCGAACGATGCAACGAGATTGATTGAACAAACGGTAGGGATGTATATCAGACTCTAAGACGTATTCGATCGGACATGTAATGCAGTGGTAGCAATGCGGCGTTGGGATGGGATGATGGATACCGAATTCAATGATGTCGTTGGATCGACGCGTTCTCTCGGCTAAGCAAGGGAGACAGGTTGGAGAAACCACATCACGTGCGCGCTAGTTTTCCCACCAATCCATAGACGGTTAAAGGCAAATGGGCCAATGACGAGCATCGTCAGGACCGATGGGGGAATTTGCAACACCGCATTCGCAATTTGGAGATGGGTACAATGGGGCTATATTATCCGAAGGCATGCACTTCTCCTCACGGTTGCTCGTTGTTCTCGTAGCGGAGAGACTGCTTATCTGCATGAAGATACCAGGGATGCGCACACGTCCAGCTCGTGGGGTTACAGAGACGTTGGGTAACGTGATCCACCACCGAGCGCCCACCCCCACCGAGCGCCCACCAACACCAAAATCCACCACCCACTAAATGAGGATATTGCGCCACCCACAATAGCTATTATTACAAGATTTCTTAGAGTCGCGATTATTAGATCTATTAGAGTAGATTAAATATTTTAGATTATATAAGCAGCTTTTTAGGGGGTCTAATTAGGTGCCCACGCTATAAAGTTGCCTCTACTACTATATCCTCTTCTACTAGCTCCTTATTAACTACCTTAGCTAGTATAATAGTAGAAGGCTTAAGGATTTACCTCTTATCTATTTAGGATATTTTAATATTATTTTAGAGTTACTTTTCTAGTTACTTAGTAGTTTTCTACTTATTATATATAGTAGCTTTTTAAGTAGCTTTCTCCTCCTACTTCTTCTTAGTAATTACTTAATTTAGGTAACACTCCTCTATAAGTTAAGCTTTAGTAAGCTTCTATTACTTATAAAGCTTAATTACCTTACTTTTTTAGTGTTATAGCTCCTATTCTTTAAGGTTCTTTTACTTCTAAAGCTTAAATACTTGCTTTACCTTTAATAGTAAAATAAATTAGGCACTACTACTATAATTATTATTAGGGGGTAATAATAGAGGTTTACTACGCTTCCTACGCTTCTTCTTATTAGCTAGGGTAGCCCTTAGGTATTTATTTTTATAGTTAAGTAGAGTATTTCTTACTAATATAGTATAGATTATCTAGCTAAGTGTAATAACTTAGGTAGGTAGGGCATCCAAAAGGTATCCTATATAACTTAAAGGCATATAGGAGTGCGCGTCTATATAGAAAAGGATAAGATTCCTACACCTATAGGTCTTATATAAAAGGACAAGAAGAATATACTTATCCTAACTATAGGCAAGCTGTTCTCTATATATATTAGTAAGTTAGGCCTTTATTAGGCCTAACTTAGTATAGAATAATAGGTAGGTAATTCTACCTTATTATTATACTACCCCCTCTTATAGAGAAAGAATAGTCCCTATCCTTAGGATTAGGTTTAGATCCCTTATTAAAGAAGAGCTTTTTATAAAATAATTCTACCTTTACCTCTACCTTTACCTTTACTTCTTCTTTCTAGGGCATAGACCCCTATCCCTAGCCTATATATAACTAGCCCTCTACCTACTAACTTTCTTATTCCTATATCCCTAATTTTTTAAATATTTAACCTAATCTATCTAAAATCTAGTAAGTATTTAATCTATATAATTAAATAGTTACTAATCTAAATTAGAACCTTTAGCTATACTAGTACTAGTACTACTAGGAGTCCTCCCTGTTGCTTATTGCGCTCTCTATATAAGAGTAGTTAGGGCTCTAGCTAGGGGTAGGTTTAATAATTTTAATTTTAAGTTAAAGAATTCTAAGAAGTGCTAGTACTATATCTCCTAGAATAAGTATTACAATCTAGTAAGTATCTAAGTCTAATAGGGTTCCTTTACTAATCCTAGTAGATTCCTTCTTTTATTAGCTAAGAGTACTCTACCCTTAGGGGTGCCCTAGAAGAGTACTATAGCTTAATAGGAAACCCTACTAAAGGGGATAAGGATAACAAGGCTATAGTTACTTATTAGAAGGATATTAAGTAGTTTAAGGCTACTATTTAAGAAACTACCTAAAACCTTACTAAGTGCGTTACTATTACTAATACTTAGACTAAGGGTATAGAAGCTGCTAAGATCCTTATAGCTATATATTATACTGCTATATCTAATTTATATTAGCTTTAGAATAGTATCTATAAGATAGTCTTAGTAGTTAGGGGCTTAATAAGGGCTATTAAAGAACTTAAGGAGGAATTAGCGCTAAATTAGGAGGTAACCTTTTTAGTGTAGGCTAAGATAAAGGTGTTTTATAAGAAGGAATCTAAATTAGTCCTAGCTCCTATCTCTACTCCTGCACCTGCTCTAATCCCTGCTGCACTAGTTGTCTAGAAGCTAGTAAAGAAGGATAGTCTAGGTGCTATCTTAGCTAATATAGAGTCTAAACTAGGTTCTAATAGAGAGATAGATATAGAATAAAGAGGTTTCCTAAGGGTAGTGTCCTAGGAACCTTAAAGGATCTAAATAGGATATAATAATAAATAGTAATAAGAATAATAGTAATAGATAGTAGTTAATAGATAATGCGTAGCTAAATAGGATATAAATTAGTTCTAATATTAGGCATAATTATTATAAAGTAATATTAGATCCTCTTTACCTTTTTCCTAGGCTTAAATCTATTTTAGTAAGCTGCGTGGGGGACCTAGCTAATTTAGATACTATTAGTAGAATACCTATAATTTATAGGGAGCACCTATAAAGTTAGAGGTAGGATACTAAATAGGATTAGGATTATGTCTAACCTACTTAACCTTATATTTTAGCTTAGATTAATATAATTTGCTAGCTAGGATTTCTTCTACCTCCTATTCCTCTACACCTTGTATAGGGGTACTAGGGGGTTTTAGAGCCTCTTATCTAGGCAATAGGTCTTAGGGATCTTTGTATAGTATATTAGGAGAAAAAACGTTATAGATCTTAGAACTAGGTAGCAATTAGAGGTAATACGCGTTTCCTACTTATCCTAATACCTTAAAGGGGCCTTCTTATTATTTAGATAGTTTTTAGCTAGGTTATAAAATAGCAAGATTAGTAGTAGATAGATAAATATAGTTACTAACCTTCTAGTTAACTAGATAGTAATAGTAATTAGTAGCAGAGCGTATTTAGTCTTAAGCTCTTTCTATATTTTCTTTAGCAATCTTCTAGGCGTTGTGTATCTAAGTAGCAAGGGATAAGGCGTTCTTATAGTTTAGTTTCTCTAGTATAGTAGATAGGGTCTTTTCTAGTTTCTAATACTAACTTTACTTTAGTAAGGAACTAAAGAGGAGCTAATATAGGGCTATGCTAATAGATAAATATAGGAGAGTACTTTAGGCACAGTCTATTATAGGTAGTAAGTTGCTCTAGTTATCTTAGTAATAGGATATAAAAGGCCTTAGTCTCTAATTAATATACTTATTTATAATCTTAGTTTATCTATTAGTTTATTTGTAGTAGGTAGTAGAGAGCTTAACTTTAGTACCTATAATCTAATAGAATTTAGACTAGAAACTAGATATAAACTAAGGGCCTTAATTAGAAATAATAGTATCTAGAGTGTGTCTAAATTAGTACACCTACTAAATAAATAAGGTAGCTATACCTTAGGCGTCTATAGTTTTATAGCAAGGGATAGTAATAGCTTACTTTAATAGGTAATTAATAATAACTATAATCTAATTATAACTACGTTAATCCTAGGGAAAATCCTTAAAATTAATGCACAAGTGTTGTATTAGTAGACTAGGGATAGGAAGGGGCTAGAGTATGCTAGGGAGTTAGTGCTGTCTTAGGTGCCCTCTCCTGCATAGGATACAGTTCTAAACGTAGCGTTTATAGGTAGTCTCTATACCTTTCTAGTAGTAATGTTAGGCTAGAATCTAATAGGTTTTAGTAGCTAATAGGTAGGTAGTAGACACTTAATTATAAGCCTTATAAATTAGTCTAGTATATAGGACTAATCTAGTAGGCACGCAAAGTTAATCCTAGTAGAGAAGGAGTCTATTTTCTATCTAATAGTGCTTAGGTAACTCTAATCTTTCTATTAGGAATAAGGACCTATTTTCTTAGAGAAGAGTTTTAATAAGTTCTAGGGATCTAAGAGTTATAGGGTTCTAAACTACTATAATTAAAGCAAGGATTAGTAAGGAACGCTTAGCTAGGTAGTCTTATACTAAGTTAGAGTTAATTTAGGGGTGTAACCTATTTAGGGTAATTATTACTTATAAATAATTATCCCTCTAAGTAGTCTTAAGGTTAACTATATCCTATTCCCTTCTACTTAGGATATTAGCTTAGGCGTTATAAGATCTAGGAGTATACTTAATTTAGAAGTTAAAGGGACTTATAACCTCTAGCTATCTAGCTTACCTAGCACTAAGGACTTTAGTAGATATAAAGTACTCTAGTGCTCTATAGTCTGTGTATACTCTAATAAGGTGCTAAGTACTTATTAGGTTAGCACGCTATTTCTTAAAGGCGTAGATTATTATAAATAATTCTTTATTATAGATTTCCTAGTTAAGTTTAGAACTAGTAAGGGTCTAACTAAAGAAGGATATAGGGTACTATTTCCTATTAGGATGCTCCTATAAGAGGATAGCTGCAATAACTCTATTAGAGGCGTCTGTCTCTAGTTTTAGAGGGTACTTAGGATAGAAGTAAGCTAAGCTTAGGATTACTAGTAGGGCATTCCTAAGCTAGTTAAAGGCTTGTTAGCATAATAAAGTCTATATAAATAGGGTAGCAGGACTCTAGAGAGTAGTTAAGGGCTTAGCTATCTTAGAGAAGTTTTCTACAAATTGCTAGTAGAATCTAGTAAATCCTAGGAAGGACTTTACTCTAGTTATTGTCTTAAGAGTGGACTAGTTTTAGAGTA